ACAACAACATGAATTAGGACTTGCAACTGCAGAGTGACAAAATCCTCATTTGGACAACGCAGTATTGGAAGTTCTGCCAATGATAAAATAAAAAGTGGGTAATTACAGCTAAAGTAAACACAATAGACAGGGCACAAGGTTTGCAGATTTACTCCAAGTGTCTCCTGTATAGTTCTGCCTATATGCTGTACCTCCACAATGACAATACAGGGTTGACCAGGACAGAAATTGTTACTTAACACATACCAGGACCAAAAGTTACTTTCACAGGAGTCATGCAGATCTGGATAATGCTTAACACATCAGTGAGGCTCCAATACATAATCTAGGGTGACGTTTTAACAAAGGATATGTCAGCTAATGGGATTCCACTTCAACACAGCAGTGCCTGTTCACTCACTCACCGCTGCAGCACAGCCTCAGAGGTTATGGTTCTGTCCTCCAGCACTCTGAATGAGGGAAGTTCCACTACGAAGATGTTGCCACTCTCTGTGCCAAGATACAGGATTTCCCGTGAGGAATGGGGAAGGACAGCTGTTATCTGTGTGGCACTTGGTGGAGATCTGGGGATGCAAAGAATCTTGTCAACTGCATGCAAAAAAGACTATTGTTACTGAATTTGAGAGAACAACTCAGCAGGGATCTTTAAAAGTGCCATTTGTTTTATAGGCAAACAGGTATGATATGATATGAGCTAGGTATGATTTTTTTTAATGAGGAAAACACCAGCTTTAACATAAATTATGTCAAAAGACTTTCGACAAGCACATGAACAAAGACCCAGATGCCTTTTTACAGAAGCCTCTCTTATTAAGTGTCCCCAAAGGGGCTAAAAAACAGCTCACCCAAATCTTGCAAGATGATGTGAAACTAAACCCATAGCAGTATTTTACATTCTGAGTTAAGGGATGCTTAGATTTACTTAGCCTTAAGAATTTACAGTTCTTGTTCACACAGAAGTGGAAGCATAATATTAAAAAGTGATGTCACCCTTTACATTGGTACAACTCTCTTAAAAGGTTATCTCCCAGGCTCTAGCCAACTCCTGTTTGGCTTCCACAGATACCCCTTTAATGGATTCACAGGAGTAAGAGTCTGTAAGAACAGGACAAGCTTTAGCTAGAGCAATAGCAGAATTTTCTTACTTGCTTGCTTATCCCCAAACTATCTCAAAAACACTCTTGTGGATTACCCAGGTGGCCCTTTCAATGTGAAGCGGTGCTCCTCCCATAGCTCAGAAGCTCCACTGTGCTGCCTCAGGCTCCAAAGATGCAGGCTGTTATCATCTAGCAATGTCACCAGCTGGCACTACAAAACCACACAATGTGCTATTTTTCAGACACAATATTAAATATAACAAAGTAAATCTAGCAATAAAGTTGCTGCTGTTCATAATTCTCTGCTAAAATAGGACTGAGAAGCCCACTGCAGTTCTTTATAACAGTGGATATATACTGCAGCAACACTGTTAGTTAACAGCGAGGGATTTGGGGTTGAGGGGAGACAAGAAATAGCCTAAAGGCTGAAAACCCTCTTATATAGCACAAAGGCACAGGTTATCACTGAGGGGGATGACAAGGATTTAGTGTCTTGGAAAAGATCAGCCTCCACAAGGCAGCTGCAGGCTGTTAGCTCACCACCTTCTCACTCAGCATGGTTTGCTGTAACACACCCCAGTTTTGGGTGGGGCTGATACCGTCTACTACACCACACTCCTTGCATTCTTTGTGTCCAACCTCATTCTGGAGGGTTGTGTCAGAGTCCTTTTATGAGCCCAGCCCGCTGGCTGTATGTTCAAATTGAAGCATTTTACCTGCTGAAGCCACACCTGGTGCAACACTCCCCATAGGAGTTTCAGCTTATACCATTTGTTAAGCAAATAGACACCCAAAACTGTCTCAAGAATTAAATCCCTCTCATAAAGAGGTCACTAGTGCTATACTGGGGGCATCAGGCAAAGTACAAGGCCAAGACGCCAGTCTGCCTGTCAAGGGAAGGGAAAGTGGTCAGACAGGCACCAGACATTTGGAAAATTCTGCCTTCCTATTTTTAGTTTATGGTAATAACTGTTCAGCCATCCCCAGGAGCAATATGCAATACCCCAAAGCACAAAGGCAACAAGCTCAAGAGCAGGCAAGGTTAGCAGTACTGTTCTGAACTCCTGAAAATAATTAAATCAGTTCAGCAGTAGCTACTGCCCCATTTGCTCTGCAGAAGAAAGACCACCCAGTCCTACTGAAAGAACAGGGGCTGCAAAAGGAAAAGGAAGTTCTCACTTCTGCAGATTTGCCTGAACTATTCTAGCCTTATTACCATTCCAAATATGTTGCTTGAGATAAATGACTAACAGTTACAAACAATAAAGCTACTCTTAAAATTTTACCAAGCATCTCCACAGCAACAAGTGTCACTGAGAGCACAAAATAACACTGGGATAAGAATTCCCAACAAAGCACTATTTGAACATACTTGGTAATAGGAGCCCAGCTGCCTGCAAACTCAACATCTGTTTTAGAGAGGTCTACATAAGCCACAGAGGTACTGAAAATACACTTACCTGATCAGGTATAAAGTGAATCTGCATTACAGTATTGTTTTCTTCATGCAAACCCATGAACTCCACTCCAGGAGCACCATATCTGAAGAGTTTGTTTAGGATCTACAGTATTTAAGATGACCCACAGCTACAATTAATTGATAAGAGGCTTGCTAGCAAGCAAGATGAAAAAGAGATTAGTTTGAAACCATGCTGTACTGTTAGTGATCTGGACTGAAAAGAACCAATACAAATCTACTTTGATTTTATATGCTTGTGGCAGGTTATGCACGCTACAGGAGAACATGGGAGATTACTTCATCCTTTGAGCATATGCAGAAGAGGTGCCTGAACCCTGGGTTTTTTTTTCCTCAGAGATGTTTAGTGGTTTCCCAGACACTACAATCCTGCTTAACTAATTTGTAACCAAGAGACAGATGGCTACCGCCCGCATGCAGAGTCCAGCCTCTGAACACAAACAACACCAGGAATGAATGATTAAGCAGGGAGGGAGAGCACCAACTCTTCCTTTCTGGGTTGAGTGCTGCGTCTGGTTTACAGGTTGCTTAGCTGGTACTGACCCATGGGAATCACCTCAATGCCTCGTGTATACACAAAAGTCGGACCAGACATCGTTAGCTTAAAAAAAAAGTCACCACCTTCAATGTTTGGGTCTTTAAAGCCTGGATGGTCAAAATCTCTGGAAGCTGAAAGCATTTCTGACTTCAGTTTTAACCTTTGTAATAGAATTGCCTTAAAAAAAAAAAAAGGAACCCTGACCAAAATATTTAAACAATTCTGGAATTTACAGCATGAAGGATTGCTAAACTTAAGCCAGATCCAGTCTGACCTTCTGCATAGCAAGAGCAAAAACCTTGTCAAATATCTCCATCATCTCAGCTTCTGTTTAAGCTATAGTTCAGCTCTTGGCAAGATAACACCATCCTGATCAGACTAAAATCACTTCAGACCTAGGCAAACTGTTCCTATGTCCAGAAGCCCTTGCTTGCAAATTTATACTTAATCTAGGTTTTTATAGTGTCTTCAAAGTTGCACATTCTGATGCAGTCAGAGAAATCTAGCCAAAGCTGTTCAAAAGAATACAGTTTGATGGCTCCCGACCGTGTTCCAATGGCCATGAGGCGGAGAAATGGGCTATAGCCCAGTGCGCTGGGTTGATGGGGAAATCCATGTTCAACAGTCTGGTAGAGAGAAAGAAAAATCATCATGATCAACAGCATGTTTCATGGGCATTGTTGTATATAAACAAAAACCATAAGTCAAATATGGCATGGCAGTCTGAAATGCAGCACTTAATAGCAGCTTTTTCTGTTGAAATGTGTTCAAACACAGGTTACATTTGCTGAACAATAGCCTAAGGATTAATCTATTCCAAGAGCCCTGGCTCTGTAGCCAGGATATGCAGAAGTGTAACAGAAATGAAAGAGAAACATTATGGAAACAGAAATCCAAGCAGCTCTTTATGTTAAGATTATAAATTACTCTGCATAAGCACAGCTTACTCAGTCACCACAATACACTCCATCACTCCACATCAACTTTACTTCTGTAAACCAACTGCTCAGCACAATTTCAAAGTCTGACACAATTACTGCATATTGTAAGGTCAGCTTTATCTGCCAAATTCCACACAGGTCAGCCTCCATGACCTCCTTTTGTTGACTGACATCAAGAAATGCTGCAAAGCTATGAAGAACTATTGAGTATCAGTGCTCATCAAGAAAACTAAACAGATTTTCCATGGGGCAGTCAGGAAAACTAATGTAACTGATATCCATTTTCCAAAGGTAGCTCAAGAAACACTGGAATTTAATGACAGCAGGAGCCTGCTAGTCCACCTCAGACTAATTCAAATGCAGTCAGTAATAAACAGATGTTAGTGGCAAATCTACACGACACCAAGAGGAAGATTTGGGGCACGTTGTACACATCGTGCATTTACACTGTGGGATAATATTCTGCCATACTTACAAGATGCAACCAAGCTGCTTGTGAAATAGCTCAGTCAAGTTTTTAGAAGTGCTAATGTACAGCTATTATCATTGTTTAGACAAAACAAGTATGCAGGGGTGTTCAACAACATAGAGCCATGTAAAGAGGGATTTGTGTGCCCAAAGATTAATAGGGCTCCTTTGTGGAAAACTTTGTTACCCTTATAGAACCAGCTTCTGGAAAATACTTTCTTCCAAAGCAAGCTGGACAGCTACAGAATAGGAATTTGTTCCAAAACAGCCTGAGGGCCGCACATACGCATGGGAAGGGGCAGGGGGGAGAACAGACAAAAAAAAAAAAAAAAGGCAAGCCGAGAACCCCCCATCTACAGAAACAGGCACTTGCATCTCACTCCCATCCTCATTTCCATTATTTCTTTGAGACAAAGCTACCACATCACTTGACTTTATGGTTTATTCCACCTAAAAGCAACACCTGGACTTTATTTCCTGCGTAGTGATTTCCCAACTTAATCCCTTGCAGGAGAACAAACAAAGCCAGTTTCAATTCTGTGGTCATGCCATTAGCCTGAGGTGCTCCCAGCTGCTACAAAGTAGTTTAATGCCCTTTTACTGTTCCTGCTCAAAGACGCAGGCATAGCAGGATATGGCTGACTCCAGAGTCTCCCAGATTGCTTCAGTTTTGGCCATTTGATTGTTATTTCATAAACTGTAAAAATACATCTCCTTCCTCTAAATCATCAGTTCAAGGTCCTATTAGGGGAACACGAGACATTTTCAAACACGAAATTGGAAATATTGGAGCATTTCCCATTTTTCTGCTTGGCAACTCATAATGGTGGGCAAAATAGTTACTAATTTTTAACCTTTTGTATGTAGTAAATTAAGATTAGTAGTACTGGATCCAAGACCACTGCGTTTATTTCCTTTTATGATAACTTAATTTCCAGCCTTACTTACTTATATTCTAAGAAGGTAATTTAAGTCTTAAGTATATATTCTTAAAAACAAATTTTGAGAAGTCAGTCTTTTTAATGTCACATTTGAAGTTGTTGCTAACCAACCCTTCCTTCACTGCCCACATAAAACTCCCTAGAGGAGACTGTATGAAATTAGGAGTTTATCTATGGACTGAAAATTTGAAAATTGAAACAGGGCAGTTTTCTAATCCAGCACGAAGAGCAATTTCTCTGTACCAGGATAGCTACTGAGACAACACAGTAAAATGTTCTAGTTGTCAGAGTTGTGGGATTATGAAGCCATGGTATACAATTCTGGGAAGAAGAATCAAGACAACATGTTATCTTAACAACAAATCAGACATTTAGTTGAATTGGGGGTAGCATGGGCAATAGACACCGTTCCACTCTTCCCCCAAAACACAGCAAAGAACTTGATAGGGAGACACCAGTAATTCCAGAGTCAGTTTTAGTTTCAACTTGTTCAGTCACTGCACTGTCATATCACCAGGGCAAGTAGGTGCCATTTTCAATGAAACATCAATTAGAAACAGTGTTTATTCTGAGATTTCTTCCAGCTCAGAAAATAAGGCTTTAGCCATAATTCTCACAACAGAACATCATGACTTATACGATACCGTACTGCCTGTGGGATGCTGTCAATACAAGCCTTAATATTGCCTAATTATATCTTGGTTTTGATGTGTTAATTTATAAACACATTAAACAAGTCAATAAAAGCTTTAATTTTCAAGTACAAGATCTATGAACTGCATAACCAAGTGTGCACCATTCAGTCCTAATAATAGGAGGGTAATTTTTTCCCTGAACATTTGAAGTTCAACAAGGCCAAGTGTAAGGTCCTGCACCTGGGTATGGGTAATCCCAAGCACAAATACAGGCTGGGCAGAGAATGGCTCAAGAGCAGTCCTAAGGAAAAGGAACTGGAGGTGTCAGTCAATGAAAAACTCAACACAAACCGACAACGTGTGCTGGCAGCCCAGAAGGCAACTGCATCCTGGGCTGCATCAAAAGAAGTGTGGCCAGCAGGGCCAGGGAGGCGATTCTGCCCCTCTATTCTGCTCTCGTGAGACCCCACCTGCAGTACTGCATCCAGTTCTGGGGCCCTCAATATAGAGAGGGCATTGAGCTGTTGGAGTGGGTCCAGAAGAGGGCCACAAAGATGATCAGGGGCTGGAGCACCTCCCCTACATGGACCAGCTGAGACAGCTGGGGCTGTTCAGCCTGGAGAAGAGAAGGCTCATGGGTGACCTTATTGCAGCCTTTCAGTTCCTGAAGGGTTCCTACAGGAAAGCTGGGAAGGGACTTTCTACAAGGGCAGGTAGTGACAGAACAAGGGGAATGGCTGTAAACTGGAAGAGGGGAGATTTAGATGGATATTAGGAAGAAAATCTTTACTGTGGGGGTGGTGAGACACTGGCACAGGTTGCCCAGGGAAGCTGTGGATGCCCCCTCCTTGGAACTGTTCAAGGCCACGTTGGACAGGGCTTTGAGCAACCTGGGCTGGTGGGAGGTACCCGTGCCCATGGCAGAGGGGTTGGACTGGATGAGCTTTAAGGTCCCTTCCAACCCAAACCATTCTATGATTCTGTGATTCCCCAGATTTTCCTTCAACAGAAAATTTGAAGTACCCTCCCAAACCATAGACAAATTTGCAAATATTACATCCAGGAGTAAACTGTTAGTAACAAAAACCACTGCAGAATACAGTACCACATGCAAAAACACAAGAAGAGAGTATCAGTAACAACCACAGTGTGTTACACAATCACTTATGCAGTAAACGTACTAATGGTTTCTGATAGCTTTGAATCTTATGCCCATAAGCCAGAATGGAAGATAATTCCCTCTTGTGCCGTTTGTTTGTTTCCATAGCCAGGCAAGGCAGGCATCAGGGTGGCTTTTTGACTGTATCTGACACCACCAGGGCCAGGCATTCACATTCACTGTACTGATTACCCAGATCTTTTTCTTGCATTTATTTACACCCAGTTGTTAAATCACATCAAGTCATCTTTTCGGCTGCCCTCCTTTCCTCCCCTCTCTCCCAGCTTTCATCAGCCAATCCTTTCACCTGCTCAGCAGGTAAACCCAGCAAGGGGGAGCAAGAGGGGCAGAAGAAAGGAGAGATTACAGTGGAGCCTTTCAGCAGAGCCGAAATAAGAAACTGGAGTGCCCACAACGTGCCCTCTTTCTCAAAAGGGCCTTTGTGCCTTTGAGGAAAGGTAGGAGCTTTCGTTTTCATTTTCCTCAGACCACAAATTTGTCAGACTCAGAAAAAGTCAACCTGATGTCAGCAGCATTAACTAACAGAAATACTTCATGTCAGTCATATTTACTGCAGGAAAAATGCAGCCAAACTTAACAGTTGTTCCCAGCCCACACTAAAGCTGTGCAGATGAAATTCAGTGCCATCTTCCTTCTTTGATTTCTCTCCACTTCTCCTCTCAGATTGTTTTATGACAAATCAGAGGCAAACCTAATCACAGGCAATACAAACCCTGTACCTTTGTTAATATGTCTTTTGAAGAAACAATGAAGCCTGTATGTGTTAAGTCTACTTTGCATACACACTAATTGAGATTTAAGGTAAGCTATCCATCACACTCATTAACAAAGGTTTTGGAAGACTGAAAAGAAAAGAAAAAAACACAAAACCATAAATTAAATGCAGTGCTCCCAGTTTGGTAACATTCAGTTGTAAGACAGGCTGGTTCACCTGTGTGTTACCCATCATCTAGTCTGACAATGCCAGCCTGAACACGTTTGTTCCGTAGGGCTTGGAGTGAGCCAAAGGCATCCAAATACTACTTCCAAAAGCAGGATAAACTGTAGACTGCCAAGTCCACATACCTTATCCTTCATTCTATCCACTGAGCTAAAAACAGATTCTTGCAACAGGTACACACAAGTATGGGAAGTCCTTACTCATACAGAGAAACAGATATGCAAAGCTAAATGACAAGCAGAACTTAGGAAGGTGTTTTTTGAAACAAACACGAGTTTGCAGACAGTCTGAAAAGCCAGTCCAGTGGTCTATCACTCCTTTAAAACCAACTGGACCACCTCTTATCTGGAAGAGAAATGCAAGAGAGAAACAGTAAAAAGATCGCAGCCTATTTATACTTGAGGGAGTCAACAAACAAACAAACAAAAATCCACCACTACTGATTAAAAAGACTTCTTTAACTGAAGTCCATTAGTAGGTCTGCATGGCCTAATACACTCCACTATATTAACACTAAACTTGTGTGGCATCATGCTTTCATATTCAACACCAGTATAAACAATAAAATGAGGGCAGGAATCCCCACCACTTTTAAGGTACAGACCTTCCATTTAGTCACCACCAGCATCACACACCAAAGAGGTGCAAATACACCATGCAGTTTCTCTGATCAGCAACTTTATAGTCCCACAAAAAATGTCCCAAGCAGGTTCTTAACCAGAAGCGTTCCAAAGACCTCAAATAACAAGTGTTTAAAAACTTGCTTACCAGCACTAGTGTGCTTCCTTTGCTAGCACACCAGACAAGGACAGTCTGGGCACAGAAAGTACTGTGTCTCTTGGCTCCTTGAAGCCACAGCCTTCAACAGGTCAGAATTAAGGTCTGACCTTCCCAGATCTTCTCAGTCTATCTGGCTGTGAGTAGATGTTTGTTTTATCAGAGGGTTGAGGTTTTCAGATTATCCATTATCTTTGGAAATACTGGAATGGGACACACAAGACTTGGAAAAAAAACAACTGTATGCAAGAAAAAAGTATAATGTAAAAGATTCTGGTATAATGGAATGGTATAATGTTCATTCCCTTTCCAATTCTTGTTAGAAAAGAACAAGTTACTGTGGCTTAAAAGTGCAAATGCATTTTGCAAGGCCTTTAATTACCAAGTTGTTAATGACAGTAAACCATTAGGAAGTGTCCAAAGTAGTTGCCTCCCTAGAAACAAGATGCAATGTTTACCTTCAGGACTGAATCAAGTGGAGTCACAAATCCTGAAGTCAACTTCTAATATATTTGGAAGTTTCCCTCAGCTGCAAAAGCTAGTTCTTTCAACCCTGTTTTGCATCAGCCAAATTAGTCCGTCTCCAGCAGCTAAAGTTCAGCCAAACATTCTGATAAGAGAAAGGTATATTCAAGGAAGAGACATCCCTGAAACAACAAAGCTTTTTCCAAGGTATATACAATTTTATACGCTTATAAGCAATTCTGGCCCATCTCTGAGAATTCTTTTCTGAAGCTAGCATTGCATTCAGCTAAATGCAAGCAACTCAATCCTGGTTGTCATTTGTTGACATTTTTACTGCATCTACACTAGCAGTTCCTTATGGTAGCAGGCAGAAAATAGGCCTGAAGCACCCTTGAGTTCCTTTTGTCTCCCTAGCGGGAGGGAGATATGCATGGAAATGGTGTGGTTTAGTACCAAATTACATTAATCATTCATCTCAAATATCCAAAGTTCCATTTTAAGTATATATCTACACTAGACTTTCAATCAATCAAGGAGGTTATTCCCTAGGCTGACTTCATTTATTCATTACACTTTTCAGCAAAAGTCCATTAAAACCTTCCGAAATACAAAACCTACAACTATATTTCCGATACCAAATGAAAGTGTAAGTAGCCATTAGCCTAGCAATGAACTAATACTACACATTTACAAAGATGAAAGCACTATGTTCCTGGCCAGGACTCAAAAGAAAAATGCCCAGAGTGTTGGAGAGATAGCACAGCCATTGCCATTTGTTCTTCACAGAGGAAAGGAAAAAAACTAGATAGGGATTCAGCCTAAGATAATAGCAAATGCATTATTAATGGCCATTGTGCTGCCTAGGTGCAACTACATTTCTACCACAGACTTTTACACTCACATTTAAAACCAGACATAGACTTATAAACCCAAAGTATAATCACAAAGAACTCTGGCTTCATCTGCACCACAAGCTGTGGCGTATGCGTATCTTTAGAAAAACGTTTACTTTCATAGTGGTACTGCAAAGACTACCTGTAACCTAAGTAGCCACAGCACATCGCAGGACAAGCTACAGAACGCTCTGAGTATATAAAAGCTTCTGCAAAGGTCTCTTCTTTCAGCAAGTGCCACTCAACAGCGTGACAATGTCCTTTTTCTTAAAAAGAAAAGCCAGAACTAAGAACACGCTCATGAGCTTAAAGAAAACTACTCAGGCACATCGTGGGGAGGGGGAAAGGGCAGAATTGAAAAAGAAAACAAATCACCCCCCCAAATTTCACTTTTCCACCCAAACTCAAGTAGTTTTTCCTTTCCTTTACACCGCGCAGCGGCTAAGGACAGATTTGCCTTGCACACATATGCCTTGAAGTTTGAGAAAAGCACTGTACCTTGTTAAACTGGAAAAGGTCACGTTTAAGCCTCTCTCTCACTGGATCATGTCCGGGTCTTAAGAATCGTCTCATCTTCCTCGCTGTAGTATCTTGGCACCAAAAATCCTAACAGGATAAAAAAAGCAAAGCCATATAAATGAAAGCAGCCTGGGGAAAGAAGCAAGCAGAAGTAGGTTATTTATCTTGGTTTAGCTGCTAATACAAATCAGCCAGAGCAGAATGAGACAACATCGCTATCGAGTAACTAAAACCTGATACCACCACAGCGCTGCATCTCTGGTGCAGGGCTCGCACAATACCATTTTCACATCGCTAAGCAATCCAGTACAGATAAGCCAAGAGAATTTTAGAAGAGTTTTTACACTTGGCCATTTTGTGATCACTTCACTTAACCTTATCCAAAAGAGAGGCAAGCAAAACTGCAGCATTTGCATAAACATTTACACAAACCCAACCTAAAGGCCAACTCCCAGGCTCACAGGCATTATTGACCAGTATCAGTTTTCACCCCAGGTAACCCTCCAGCTATTGAGCTAAAAAGAGAAAGAATCACATTTTCAGCTTGCTCGATGGGTACAGCAGAAAGGGCGCTGTGCTGCCTGCAGGGCAGCTGCATTAATTATTAACTTGCTTTTGTAAAATATCAAGCCCAACTCCCTACTCAAGGTGGGGGCTGGGGAAGGAAATCTTGCACCTGCAGTTCAATGTGCAGCCAGCAGCACAAGCCTTCCAGTAGATCTCACTGCCTTGTCTCTCCCAGCACCAGGAAGATCCAAGCAGGACAAATTAGATACAACTTGCAACCTTGCAATCACACCAGGGACACCAGGCTACAGCCTCAGACTCTGTACAGCTCAAGAGATTCTTTGCCACATCTCCCCTCTCAGAGGTGCTAAGTGACAAGTAAAACTGCCAACTCAAGAGCAAAGGTTTGAATCACACCCCTTACAACTTACCTTGCCATAAGCGCTCCTGCCTGCCCCGGCCATCTTTCACAAGCAAGTTTCCAGTGTACAAACAGCTTAGCTGTTTGCAAAGCAGCAACCGGACACTCCAGTCAGTATTTTATTTCAATTTGTTCGGACAGGAAATTATAGTAATTTACCAGCTACTCTGTACACAACACACATGCACAGTGGGGGTGAGAACTTCTGAGGTGCAATGAAGAATCAGTATAGATATTCTACAGTAACCCACCATCAGAAGAGGTGCATGCACACATACAGCAAGGCAGAGAGCAGGGGGCAGAAGGCTAGTGTTGCAAGGGAGAGAGGGACCAGGAGCACCAAAGGGACTCTCAAGTGAACAGAGGGCCTTGGGCCCTAGTTCAGGTTGTGAGCCTGGAGGGTAACTGAGAGAAGAGCTTTCACAGCCTATCTGTACAGATGGGAGTAGCAGAGCTGGCAAATAGGGTGGCTATCCGTGTGCTCCTGCCAATAACAATGGTCTTTGGTTAATGACTGAAGTCAGCCAGCCATTCCTGAGGAGCTTGAAATGTTTTTCAAATAGTTTCTAGCAAGACCTTACCAGCAGCAAAGGATCTAATAGGAAATGGTATTATAAACAGGGCACTCCATAGCCATATTTTCAAAAGTCCCTTTAGAAACATCTTGAGCTAGAACTTGTACCTCTTTGTTACACTACTCCCCTCTTACCTTTCCTGCTCACACTCCATAATCTCCAGCTGCCAATGCAGCACCATCCAGAGCTCACTAAAAGAACTGCAATGGAGTCCTGGTTCAGACGACCAGAAAATCACATCAGCATCAAGAGCCCAAGTCACTCAGTCCCCACCTAGAATCACCAGCATCTCCATGCACCACAGAGAAAAGTGGCTACAGGCATCTGTGTTTGTGCACCATGCCATCAGCACATGTAGAGGTGAACAATATGCACAAAAACACATAGCAGGGGACCCCAAAAAAACAGAGGAAGAATAAAAGTGTAGTTTACTTGGAAAGTATATGCTTCTACAATGATTTAGGTACCTCAACGGAAATTTCTAAAATTTTATCAGACCATAAGTCTTCTTTCCCCAGACATTCCTGAAAGAAAGAGGGGCATATTTACACATGGCTATACTTTAAGTTAGCAAAAGCTACAGAGCAGTGACAAGCTGCTGTGCTATGCAAGGAGAGTATATCACACCCATGTATAACACACAGTTTGCCCTCAGCAAGACAAGGAAAGGAAAGTGCCAAAAAGACGCACCCTTTACCACTGTCAATCAATATCCCAGACCTGTTAAACTAGGCAAACCCATAGAGAAAATCTACTCATTATCCTCCCCACTTCAGAAAAGAGACCTCCTCAGCTGTGACAGCAGAGACAAACTCTCTGTTATGAGCAAAGGAGAAGTGTGGGCTTGATTTGGGACACTTTATATTTAACACCCTGTTGGAGTGTTTTATCCTGAAATATTAATTGTATCTACAAGCATGCTGTTTTAACCTGCTTATGCAAGGGATCTAGCATTCACACTCCAGCCGACAACAACTTGCTCAACTGGCTAACGTGCACAGTAGTTCAGAACCGCACAGTAACTCGCTTGAAGAAACGTCATCCTGGCAACTTGATGTGTCCATTACAATCAAGAAGGCACGCTACAAAAGTCATCTCTCACCAAACTTGTATCAGGGTTTCACACCTACACCAAAGAATTCCTGGGTGCCACAGTATGGAGATGAGAAGAAAAGCAGTTTTGAGCAAAGGCAAAGGAGGAACATCCACTGTAGCATAGGTTGTCCAAGCAAAATTATTATTACAAGTTTACACAGCTCTTGTCAACGAGAGCTTTTCTTTTCAGTGTAATAAGCAAGTGCCTTTTCCAATTATAGAAAAACAAAAAGATCCCACAATCTGTATAATCTTATCTTCCAGAAGCACATTTAAACATTAGCAGACCAGTTTCTCTCCCACACACCTTTAGCATCTTACATAAAACTCAAATTCCATGCGCTCTGTAGTTATCTGCCAGTCAGCATTTACAACCATATGGTAACAGTTGTGGCTACCAGTAGCCAGAGAGGAATTCTCTAGTAGCCTCTGAAGGCATGCCAGGTCTGCATGTATCTAATGTTCTTATTTTCCAGGGAAACAATTCTTTAGGCTTTCAAAGATGAGTCTTTTACCAGAAACTATGTGCAACATTCTCTTCTAAGATGCATTGAGGTCAGCTGCTTTTAGGCAACAACAGCCCAAGGCTGAGTCAATCCTAATTTTGCTCATATTCAAGACATGGACACCAGACAGCAAAGCTCAGACTGCCCTGTACGTTGAGCTCCTGCCACTTTGTTAGCTGAATGCTTAGCTAAATATGATGAGGTACCCTTTTTCACCTCATTTTATTAGATCCCACCATGAAGCAAAAGCTCTTCACTATTCATACAGAAAGGCAATGAAATAATGAGTTACAAGATGATCCTGTTTCCTTCAAATCACAGGCTAAGGAGCAGTTAACAGCGAAACCAGATTTCATGCTGGTTTCCTTGCTCAGCTCCATTCATTTTTAGATGTTGAGATTCATGGCAAGTACGCTTGCCACGTCTCATGACAATATCCATATTCAACAGAAAGCCAAATGCTTCTTCCTAGGAGAAGCGCTGTTCCTTACTACTGTGTGTTAGCAATCCCATCAGAGCTCCGCATTTTGGTTTGCCCTTGTTGCTTTTGCATGTAGCCATGTGTCTTGATGCCCATTCACAGCTTTCTGAGATGCTCTGGATTTTCACCATCAACTAAGTACCAGCTGGGGGGCGGGGGGCAAAGGAATTACCCTTTGTAGAAATTTGTTGCAATTTTTGCTTATGTCTCCCATGATAGTGGAATTTCCAGTCAAAAGTATAAAGAGAATCAATGTTGTAAGTCCCAATCACATAAATTAATCCACTCTGACAAGGCAAGGAAGCCCAGGTCAGAAGTTTTTACTATGTAGACTGTATAAGTGTGGATACTGTCCCAAGTTAATTCCACAACAAAAACATGCCTATAATGAGTTTCTTTTGATCATGCAGGAGAGTTGCTAGGTACCATGTGTGTGCTTCCTAGGCAACCTTTACTCAACTTGAACAGGTTTTCAATAGGATAAGATCCAACAGCTTTCTTTTGAAAATGCCATCCATCGAGTATCTCAAGAACTCTCAAATCTCACCTTGCTTTAGGTCTCCTTTTCATTCCTTCCTCATCACACCTTCCTGCTTACAGGTCCTTAAAGGGAGAACTTCTACTTATACATCTGATAATACTTTATCAACCCTGCTAAAATAAAAGAGGCCTTATCAACAAGCTTTGTTTGAACTACAAGCAGTTTGTGCTCCTATAACAAACAGTCACCACCATTGGCCTTGCCTGAACTAGGTTTCCTTCCACACCCAGAAGTTTGCCTTGTTCCTGTTACCAACAGTCAGCAGCAACAGAGCAGAGATCAAATCAACTGCATAGGAAAAAGCAATTCCTTAGCATCAATGATCTCACTACAACAAAAATTATCAAATCATCATTTAAATACTAGTCTTATCAAGCTTACTGAACACAGGAGCCATCAGACTCATCAGACATGACTCACTGTAAAATTACAAGTTTAAGAACACTTTTAGCTTGAAATCAATGAAATAACCCATAGCTATTCTTTAACTGGGCTGCTACTGTAAAGTTCATCTCTACAATCACACTCAGCTGAAACACACTGTCAAGAGAGACACTCAAGATGAAAGCACAAGCCAGGCAGAAGAGCCAAGCGAAAGAGAATGAACAGTTGCAGTACATGGAAAGCTTGGCTATATAAGTTACCACCTCCTTGTCTCAGGGTATGGCTTCACCAGGAAGATGTTCTAACAACATTAATCTCATAGTTTAATGAGACCGTGCAGAGATCTCCCTTACGCTACACAACTGCTGATCCGCCAGCACTCAGTTTTATAAACAGGAGGGTGTTGAGATGCACCTTGCATACAGTAGTCAGGCACTGGCAGAGAGGTAGACCAAGAGATCCTCCTGTAACAAGGGTTTATTTTTGTGAACCTGGAGTTAAATGAACAACTGAACAGACCACGTTAACACTACGTGCAGGTGAC